TTTATTTCAGCTCCAATTGATGGAGAAACACCATAGGAAGATGTGTGATACAAGTTAATAGTTAATTACAAGATACAAGTTAACTCTGTGAAATGTCAAATTTACAACACCAAGTCGTCAACAAATGTCCTGCACGAACTTCAGGTTTGCAGCAAGAGAAATGGTCAATGTGCTTCTTCATTCACCAACAGACACACCAACAGGAACAATTGGGGGTTCGGTATCTTGCTCAAGGACACTTCGACATGGTCCCGGGAATCGAACCGACAACCACTCTTCCACTGAGCCACGCCGCCCCACTTCTTTGACCCGGAATACATGGAAATAAGGGATTATGGGAGAGCAAATTGACTGAAACATCTTTCTCCTTCTCCTCCCTCTGCACCCTCCTCTCCCCCCTACCCTCCTCTTCCTCGAATGGTTCACATCACCAAGCTGATCTCCTTGCTCTGAAAATAACTCCCATCTCCGTTTAGGTGGAATAGAGCTGAATGACGAGATTGTACTCTTAAAGGTGAGTGATGTTTATTTAATATGGAAGTAGCATGATGCAGTTGATTGTATTGTTTTCTGCCGCTTCATCTTTTCTTCTCCTGTGACATTTTAGAGCCCGCGGAGATGTTGGCAGGTGCATTACTTCTGGCCACAATACTTACAACTTTACCAGGTCGGTGAAAATATCTGCAAACTATCAGATTTGATAACTGCATTTGTAATTTTGACAATATGATTACGTTTTATTGGGTAGCATCAGGTCTGGGAATGTGAGGTGTGTTTTGATTGACAGATGTTTTATTCTTTGTGAATTTCAATGATGTCATCAACCATTTGGCCATGGCCTTGTACAACACTGTTAATCAGAAATGTAGCAACAATCTAAGTCCGATACTATATAGGTTTATTAAGGTCCTGCAGCCAGGTGCCCTTGCCTTTACACTCAGGTTATTTATAAGTATTGATTGCCTTTTTGTGCAAGCTCGTCACCCCTGCAGGCTGCGAGCAACACGGAATGTCACCATGAATCTCAATGCATCCATTTGATTTGATGCTGTTTGACACTTTATTCTCCAAGGAGACATATTTTCACTTGTGTGTTTTGGAACGGAGTACACTATTTCGTCTTGGAGTATATATTCCAAACCAGAAGCTTCCCAAAGCCCATTTCTCATGTGAAGAAAAAAAAATGTGTCCACTGTTATATTGTCATCCTTGAAGAAGACAAGAACAGGCAATGTCAATACAGTAGTAGATTATGTAAAGATCTTTTTCAATATTCTCCTTGCTAAATCGGCTGGCATGATGCTTTTAAAAAGACAATTTCTGAATGATCCTTGTTCTTGGTAGGACATGAGCATAAATTAAAAGTGAGCTTTTGATACGGAGTACATAGCAGCTGGATCCTCTCCCAGCTGGACCGAATGGATGGATAGATAGAGCATCAGTAAAACACCAAATCTATTGGTGAACTTGGGCACAGTTCTGGCAATGAATAGAATTGCACACGCTGGTGTTGACAAAGTGCATTATTGTGCTGCAGGGGGCCAAAGCAGGTGGAGTGTGTCCTTTTCCCGAAGAGAGATCTGTGTGTGGGCAGGAACCACTGTCACACTGCCATGTCGCTATGACTATCCATCAGGTATCTCAACAGATCTTTCCATATTATGACTTTACTGGACTCGATATCGATAAATTAGCCACAGAGTGTAACCCCACTTGATACCGAATCATTGTTCATGCCCTGCCACCCACCCCTATGTCGTGGATTTTTAAGCTTCTATTTTTTTCAATGTTTTTTTTTTCCACAGATCATTTTACCAATGCACTATTGTCACGTTTTAAAATATGACAAAAAGAATTTTGTTTTGTTTTTTTTTTCAACAATCTCCCGCATTATAGCTTGCTGATGATGAAATTATGTGGTTTGGTGTTTGAATATCCAATGTTTCATCGATGTGGAAACGTCCAAACGGATCGGTCCGGCAGGCTCGGGTTTGGTTGCTATTATGACCTAACGGAACATATTGGCACAGGCTGCTCTTTTTTTCTTTTTTCTACTGGCAGAAAGCTCTGTGTCTGAGTTTACTCATTAAAGAGCGCGAGGAGAAGCGGAGGAGTCGATCCAGATTCACAAAAAGGAAGCGGTCCGCCGCTTTCAATCACAAACAGCGTGTAGAGTGGCGCTTGTGCTCGCCGAGATTCCCGTTTGTTGTGCCTCCTCAGCGGTGCTCTTTTTGCACTATTTCCTTGCTTGTTTACGCAATACCCGCCGTCAAGCATTTGCTGTACACAGCCACAACGCTGAGAGACTGGCGAACGGCACCTGATCCCCGTCTCGTGTGACTCGCGTTAGCCAGATGAGAGCAAGAGTCGCTTTACGTGCATAAAATGGACATATACTCGTCCGTTTGATGATGCATCAGAACTCTTACGTTGGGGAGATTACAACTAGCTGGAATTTGCTATGGTAATACATATATTTCCATCATATAAAACTTATTTAACTTGAAACCTTAGTTACGGTATATTGAATATACCATGTCAGTGTTTATCATAGTAGTAGCAGTGTTTGATACATTGTTGCCTGTAAACACTCATGCAAACGTTAATGGAAAGCAACACGCATTCTTCTCAATAATATATGTACAGTATTTCATACTCGTGTGTATTTCATATAAATTGTTCGTATAATTTTTAGAGATGTCGATGTTCTTTAGGTGTTCATTCAATTTTTATAGAGAAATGTATGGTACTTTTTTTTGTCTTGTTCAGTTCAAAAACATTTGATCATCACTCAAACAGTATGCTGTGCTGAGTAAGATTTTCTGACTTGACTTTCGACTTGCTTGAACAAAGTAATGACTTGACTTGCTTTTTTTGGTGACGCGTCTTGACTTGTTTTATTGATCCCCCCAGTCACTTAATTGGGACTTGCTTCAAGTTAAATGGCTACAACCTGAGATTTGCTTGTGACTTGCACATATGTGACAGATGTATTGTACCTTTTGTAATCCAGTGGCAGAGAATTTCATTTTCCCGCCTATATATATCCATGTAAAGAGACATTTTCGATCTACAAAATATGTAAATAACAAGAACAACAAAAATGTTTCATGATAAATCTGTTAGAATTCTTCATATATTTATTCTTTCAATTTTTGCTGAACTAAAGTCCAAGTGTATCAAACTAAACTGAAAACAGTACAAAACCCAGATATGAAACGAACTGGGGATTTAGTGAACCGTTCCACCACTAATGTTTAATTATCTTTTGTCTTATGTATCAGTTTGATAGAAATCTTAATTTGTGAGTGATTAAAAAAAAATAATATTAACAGCCTGAATGAAGGAAGCACGTTTTGCTCTTTATTTGAAAAACTAACAATGTACATTTTCCCACATCTTGACTGTGACAATGAGTACAGGTGCCAAAGAAAATTTTAAAAAGTGTGTTTTAATATGTTTTAAACGTGCTTAAACCCTAAAACTGTAAAACTATATATAAAAAAAATATTTTATATGGTCAATATCGTGGATGTTCTCCGATCATAGTTAACTGAGGTTCCATGTACAATTTTTATACACACCACCTAGCCACAACATTATGGCCATTTGCACAATTTAACGATATCCAGATTAAGATAATATAAATTCTGACGGACACTGTCACAGAGCTATTAATAATAAACTAGAAAATTCCCACAGAAATTTAGTATGGGACTGCTGACTCTTGCATGGTGGAAAGCCGCATGTGCTGAACAGTTTGAAGTTGGAATGTTTTGTATAGACCCAAAAATGTGGAAATTACAGCCAAAAACACCAACCTTTTGAATTAGGCCTTTTACTTTGACATTTTTAGAAAAAAAGTGCTAGGCATAAACTGAACAGTTTAAAGTTGGAACGGTTTGAAATTGTTAAGAAAAATGTGGCACTTAGACACAAAATGTTTAATTTTTAGCTTTGAATTTGATTTTAAAAAAATGGGAATGTGGTTAGAATTGCTTGAAAAATGTGGAAATTAGAGGTAAAAAGCCCAAAATTTCCCTCTTTTGAGATCGCGTTGGCCACTGCTAAGGCACTCAGGCCACCCCAAGGATTAATGTCTAGCACTGCCCCTGAAGGCAGCTGTTAATTTCCTGCACCTGTCTGTCATGATGGTTTTAAAAATAAAACTATGCAAGAGCGCACATCTCGAACAAAATCCTCTCACAACTTAATGGTTAAAGATACTGATTCCACAAAGGTCTGCTAGAATGGCAAGAGTTTGAGGAACATCATCATGTTCAATTTTTTTTAAAATGCCCCCCCCCCAAAAAAAAATAAAAATAAAAAATGACAGAAGTAGAGCAGGTTTCAAATTAAATAAATCTAAGAAATGTGACTGGCTCATTACAACTAAAACAAAAGGTACAAAATCAAGTTTTTGCTACACAAAAGTGTCGATGCGTGTGAGTACCTAATGTCCCAATTGAAGAAATATGATGGCCACAATGACTTAATTTGAGATTTTCAAAATTAATTTTTATTTCAGCTCGCACTGCCTCAATGAGCTCCACTCTACGCTATACAATACGCACCAACGTTAAACCAGATTTTTTTTTTTTTTTGCTGCTTCACTTACTGTCTTTAAACAGACAGGGGAAGGCGAGTGTATATTTTTTCGAAAAAAAACAAAAAAAAAAAAACGTTTTCCAAAGATGGAAAGAGTTGACTGATGTCAATTATGATACGGCTCCGCATTCATTTCAATGGGAATTCTTTACGTGGTTTCTGGCAATTGCATGACCATTGTAATATGGAATTCTGCCCATTAAAAATTCTGAGCCGAGCCGGGTCGAGACGCATCTTTTGATAGCTCATTTGCGTGGCTATGTTCAACGGACTTTTCTCTAGAAACAAACAACAGAATCATAAAGGTTAAGATATAAGTATGCAGGAGATTAAGATGGGGAGCTTTTTTTTTTTTTGTCTTCACCTTCATAGGTCACACGGTGACGCAGATCATGTGGTTTCGTGTATCAGCAGACGGTCAAAGGGAGTTCACCCATCACACGGACCTAAACCAAATCAGCCTGTCTTATCGTGGACGCACACGGTAAGAGCATTTGAAAGAGAGAAAAATGGAGCGAGAATACGTGAATTCCACACAAGACGGCCCGAGTTGAGATTCGAATCCTGAACCTGTGAGGCAGATGTGCTTACCACCAATCTTCCGTGCTACTCAATCTTCTTCATTCCTGTGGGTCCATTGACCAAGTGTTCCAACACTTCCATCCACGTATTATACAGTTTAAAAACAAAAAAGAAAACGGATGCATGCATCTATGGTATGCATGTCTAACACAATTACTCTGCATTGCAGTTACATCGGCGGAAGCTACTCGAGCTGTTCGGTCCAAATTCGAGCTGTCAAGCTGAGTGATGCAGGCCAGTACCACTTCAGGTTCAAGACGGATCAACCACTGGGACGATGGACCTCGCCAGACACCATCACTCTAGACGTAACAGGTTGTTTTTTTGCCAACTAAAAGTGCTGAATCAGCTGTGACGGATACTACGGATGAAATTCAAGAAGTCTGCGCAAGCAGCGCTTTTCTTGCCAGACATTCACACAAGACTTCACTTTGGTTTTTTTCTGTGAATGCGTGCATGTGTCAGACCTCCAGGTCCAGCTGCATCCAACAAGGCCAGCCAACATGTTTGGCTTTGCAGAGACTGTGTTTGTCGGCTGCCAGGCCACAGGATGTGCTGCCCCAGGAAGGAGCCTCGCGTTGTACAGGTGAGTGTGTGCGAGTGTGCAACCTCCCCATCAATTGTGGCTATCAAAAGCAGAAAAACAAAAGCAATGTCACAATATGCTTTGTGCGCAGAGATGGTCAAAACCTGGGTTCCTATGATAAATGGATGATAATCAAACGCTTCGACCGAGTACACGTTGGAGCGTACATCTGTCGACCGATCCCGCCACAGAATGTGCAGTCCCCACCCCTCTTTCTGGCTCTCGGCCGTAAGTACAGTAATTGCAGACCAACCACACCGACCGACCAATCACACTAATTTTTTAGATACACGTTTAATCGAATGTGGCAGCGCAGTGACCTAATGCTTATTACTCAGCTTTATTTACAAACATATTGGATAGGCATTAACAAACAGTGTTCTCAATATAGGGGAAAAACCAGCTTCCCGATCATGAACACATATACAGATTTTAGCGGTACAGTAATCCACCTCCACTTCGCCCTCCATGTTTTGCGGCTTCAGTGATTCGCGTTTTTTTTTCCAAAATACTGTATTAATTTAAAAAAATATAACAATAAAAAAAAAAACTATCCAAAATGTAAAAATGAAAAAAATACAACCATATCCGCAGTCATCTTGTGGAAAGACCCGCTGTTTCATGTTGATGCGCGAGAGAAAAGGTTTCCCTGCATGCGGAATGACTCCGAGGCTTTGTTCATGCCTGTACTCTACTGTTCTGTTCATCAGTGTTTTTCAAACCCTGTGCCACGTCACACCGGTGTGCTGCGAGACATTGTCAGTTGTGCCGCGGGAAAATATCCCATTTGTATGTCTATCACCCGGCAAAGTAATCGTGTAGTAACCTTCCATACTACTAGGGTTCAGCAACAGCTAGCCAATTGCCTTGTGTTGAGACTAGAGAAAAGCGAATTTGTGACGCATGAATGCAGGACGACGGAAACAATATGAAAGATTATAAAATAATTTTTCTTTGTGTTTATTTGATTCCAATTCAAGCCGTGACAACGTCATTCTTCAATGTTAAAAAACAGTTATAGTAACAATATAACACGTTAATTGTTAAAACAAGCTTTTTTTTTCACATTTTCAGCTGGTGGTGTGCCGCGAAATTTTTTTCAATGAAAGAAGTGTGCATTGGCCTAAAAAAGTTTGAAAAACACTGCTGTACATATGCATTTATCCAAGGCACGTGATTGGTTCCTGGCGCGATAGACCAATGAGAGCATGAGTGGATTTATCCCATGAGCTGATTGGCTGTGCATCTTAGCAGCCCTGCCCACAGCACCATCCCTTGGGTTTTGTCACGCTGTTGACTGTGTCACATTGCGAGGTGGTGGTGGACCCCAAAAAGCAGGCAAGAGAGAGGAGCAGGGTGTACTTGACAAATTGTATTAAAACATAGAGAAAACTAAATCCAAATCAAACAAAGTCCAAAGTATCAAACAAAAAACATGACAAAATATGACTAAAACAAATTTGACAGCAGCAATCAAGCAAACAAACAAGCAACAATGACCCGACCATGAGTGGTCGGGCTGGGAGTCCTTTTAAAGCACTAATTACAGAATGACCAACAGGTGTGCAGCTGCAGGGAGAGCCTTACAGTGCCACCTGTTGGTCCCAAACAGAATCATGACAGTACCCCTCCCTCAAGGGACGGATCCCAGACGTCCTAAAGTCGTCCAAAGGCTTGCCTCGCTGGGGAAGGGAACTAAAAGCGACGGCAAGCCTTGCCTCGCCGGAGAACAGGAACTAAAAGCGACGGCAACCCTTGCCTCGCCAGGGAACAGGAACAAGAAGCGACGGCAACCCTTTGGCTGGGCTTGGCCTGACGTGGACGGAGCTCGACGTAACGGGGGACATGGGACAGCCGGACGTGAACGGGGGCTCGGCCTGACGTGGGCGTGGACGTGGCACGGCTCGTCGTGCACGTGAATGTGACTCAGCTCGAACAGACACGTGACGAGCCTCGGCTCAACGTGTACGCGGACGGGGCTCAGCCTACCGTAGACGTGGCTTGACGAGACGAAAACATGGGACAGCCGCAAGACCAGGGCTGCCTGAAGGGGAAAAGGGTGTCGGCCGCAGACGTGGTCCGCCAGGCACATGGTGGAATAGGGACCAGTCCTTTGTACCTGCGGGGTCCAGGTGGTCGGGTCATTCTGTCACGCTTGCGTGGTGGTAATGGACCCCAAAAAGCAGGCAGGAGGGAGGAGCACGGTGAACTTGAAGAATTGTATTAAAACACAGAGAAAACTAAATCCAAAACAAAGTCCAAAGAACTAGTGATGGGACGAAATGGACCGAGGCTCCGAAACTTGTGTCGAGTAATGGGAGGGGCGTTTCCACAAAGCTTGTATCGAGGCGCGCGTCATTTTGGCAAAACCCGGAAATGATGTCGTGTGAAGCCTCGCCGGCCAGCTGAATCACATTGAACGCTTTGTGAGTGGTCCGACATTTGGCGCGCATTGCAAACACAGTACAGACTACGGTATAAATAGGTTGCAAAACGTAATGGCGATCGCCTGTTATCTCACATTTTGTGGATTTCGGGCTCCTGTACTTGTTACACCTGTGCGCAACAGTGCAACTAGTGCAATCTTTTTTCGAGCCTTGTCTGTTGCTTGCATGGAACCTGCGCGAAAAAGGCGATCCTCCCCTACGTGGGAACATTTTGATTTGATTGCTTCCAATAAGGTTCGGGAGAAAAGTATAAATGTGACAATGCAGCTTTTCGCTTGTTCTTGTGTCTAACTATTGTTATTTCACAAGTGAAGTGTCTGTTGCGTGCAAGGGAACTTGTAAACAACAATAACACCTCGTCTATGTTGAGGCATTATAGAGCCTTGCATGAGAGCAAGGAGAGCCATGAAACCTGGCCATAAGATACCCTTTATTTGTCCCACAATGGGAAAATTTACATACCTACCCAAATTTATATCAACTGGCACTCGCATTTCTCTGCACCCCAGCTTCATCTGTGCCTTGTGAAAGAATATTTTCTAAAGCTGGTGAAATATTTTCCAAAAAAAGAAACCGTTTAAAGCCAGCCATTGTGGGAAAAGCTATTATTTCTAAATAAAAATGAATAACAAATTATCCTTAGCACCTGTATTTTGTTCACATACTAAATTAGTAACACAAGCACATTCATATCTTTGTCTTAAGCAAATAGCCATTGAATTCTGGACACTGTTGACCTCTTGGGCTTCTAGACCACTTGATGGCACCATAGAGTAAATAAAGCACCATGAAGCTTTGCTACATGTTCAAACCAATTGGCTGCAAAGCTTCATTGCTTCATGAGGCTTCATTTGGCCATCACTACAAAGAACAAAACGAATCCAAGTAACAAACAAAAACCATGGCAGAAGCTAAAAACTTTCAATAACAGAAAGATGACCGAAACATGACTGAAACAAACCTGACAGACGCAAACAAGCAAACAGTGACCCGACCACGAGTGGTCGGGAGGGAGTCCTTTTATAGCAATAATTGCATAATGACCAACAGGTGTGCAGCTGCAGGGATAGCCCTACAGTGCCACCTGTTCACAAACAGAATCATGCCAGACTGTGTCTTATGTGTTTGCGATAACCTTAAATGTTTAAGCGAAAACTTTTTGGGATGAGTTAAACTGTGCTCTAACCCCTTGCCGCCGCCTAAGGACAGAGATGGCACCATCAACAGAGGCACATTGCTTCAACAGCAGAGGCGGGGGCTGGTGGAGGTGGGGGTGCGACCCGGTCAGCTGTTTTTAAGACATGTCATGAGAAAGCAGTGACAGCTCAGACGAAGGCTGAAGTGACAGCCGAAACTGTCAGCTACGAAAGAGGGGTTTTTTTTTCTTCACCAAAAAAAGACCATTGTCTGATTTTAAAAAAAAAACCTTAAACCTATTTCAACTCATAAGAAGACAAGGCGAACGTCACAGTGCACCCCATCACCATGTTTTTCTCCAATTTAAAAACTTCAGTTCCGCTGTCAGCAAAAGAGTCTTTCGTGGACCAAAAGCCCACGAGTCAAGTGAGAGCCGCCTTCTACGCTACCAACACAAGCGTCTTCGCCTCTCTCAGAAGGCATTGTTGATGAATGTTAATTTCTGTATCAGGTGTTATAACGAAAGATTGAAGTAAATATTTTTCCTTTTCTAATCTTTGTCTCAAATATGTAAAGTATAAATACAGTTTATTCATACATATTTTAAACATGCCGCTATCGACATACACGAAAATTACTAGCCAGGGGCAAATCTTCCCTTGCGGTTTTCACCTTTTGCGTGGGGGGTTCTGGCCCCATTAACCGCAAAAACCGGGGAATTACTGTATCTTGGTTAGCATGTCAGCCTCACAGTTCTGAGGTTCAGGGTTCGAATGTCAGCTTCAGTCTTCTGACACTTGCATGTTCTCAATGTGCTTGCAAAGGTTTTCGCTGGGAAGATTTTCTCCCACATTTCAGCAGCATGCATAAGGTTAACCAAAAACTAAATTGTGCATAGGTCTGAACGTGAGCGTGAAGTGGCTGGTGACCAGTCCAGGGAGTACCCCACCTCTCGCTTTCAATCAGTTGTGATTGAAAGGCTCCAGCTCACCCACAACACTATTGAGGAAACCTGCTATAGAAAATGGATGGATGGGTGATGAGTGAAGAATGCAACATTATTCATCATTTAACCACTTTCTTTTCTTTCTTACCATCAGATGCTCCTCGTTCTACCTCCATCCAAGTTTCTCCTTTAGGAGTGGTGTCAGAGGGCGGGTCGGTCACTCTGTCGTGCAGTAGCGAAGGAGCTCCACCGGTAGAGAGCTTCGCCTGGTTCAAAGGTATTACAGAATCTAATGAGGCAATGGTGGAGAACCGCACTGCTTCGCAGAGGCAGCTGGTCCTGAAACCAAAATATTAAAAAGACCACTCAAAATAATTTTGTTGAATTATCTACCCCAGTGCAAGCTAAAACGACAATTAGAAAAAAAAACAAGAGGACCTCTAATTGCCTCTCCTGCCATGTCAATCAAAATGTCAAAAGACGTATTTCTGATGAAACAGATGATGGTTGATGTATCTCACATGAGCGTATTCTCCACAGACATGGAGACTGGCAGCATCCCAGATAGTTTTGGGCCTCGACTCCACCTTACTCGCCTCAAATACACAGACGGAGGAGAGTACTTCTGTGTGGCGCGGAACTCCCTCGGAACCGAACGGTCCGAACCATTTCTTCTCAATGTGACATGTACGTGCTCACTTAATTCATTGCTCAGATTTGGGAGCTCAATAGTCATTGTTTAAATGTTTTTAAAACAACTGAAAGAAATAATATATCATATTCATGTTTACTAGACTAAATTGCTAGAGTATGTTGATACAAATGAGTTGTTGAGTTTTTATTACAATACATTCACACTGCTAATAAAAAAAAAAAAAAGTGTAAGGTCAATCCAAAATCCTACAAAATTCAGTTACTTGGGTTTCTACAGCTACGACATGTCGTTCCAATGTCAGTCAGAAGTTTTACAGACACTCGTTGTGAGAATAGTATTAAATTCATTTGGGAATGTTAATTATCTATTTGAGCTGTTATTTTCCAGAGAAAAATGTTTATTATAAACATAAATTTTCAATAAGAAGATTAAAAAAAAAAAAAAAAAAAAAAAACAAGAATTGAAAATACTGGATTTTCTCTAATCCACACAGGGTCAAAAACTAACCATTTATATTTGTTTTTAAACTATCCGTTTATTACATTTTTGCTGAGTCAGGGGAGTGAGGGTGACGTGTACCAACCACAAAGTGAGCATCGACTTGAATAATGAGAAGTAGTACATCTACGTCACAACAAATCTGACTGGCTCATTTGCATTTCAAACCGCTATTGTATAAAATCGTAGATGTCGACCTTTAACCCGGACACAGACTTGTGACCTGTTTTGCATAAAACAGTGGGGGGAAACAATGAATTTTGATGCTATTGCAGCTTTCGTATTTTTCCTCCAAATTCTACACACAGCCCTACAGAGCTCCTAAGGGGACATGGAAGGGAACAAAAACAATTTTGTGTTCCCTCACAAAGTTTTGCATTCCCTCGCAAAGATTGCTAAATAACGCAACCCTTTTTTTTTCTTTTTTTTTTTGCAAGGGTACGCTTTTTTTTTAAAAATGTGCGTTGATGTACTCCCGTGTCATCTTCTGGGTAAATGAAAACAACAAATATGGAAGGTGAGTTTAATGGAATTTTACTTTGAAATTTACTTAAATCTGTTCTTGATCTTAAATAACAGTTTCCAAGTCCTCCTCCATAATTTTCTCCTTCCCCAAAGTAGTGTCGTCTCTCAATCAGCCACGCATGAGAGTCTACATTAGCCAAGCTGACCTGGAAGCACAAACACGCATTTTTTTTAAAAAAAAGCACCCCCTTGCAAAAAAAAAAAAAGTTTGCATTATCTCGCAATCTTTGTGAGAGAATGCAAAACTTTGCGAGGGAACTCAAATGTTTTTTTTTTCTTAAATGTCACCTTTGGGTCTCCGTACAACCCCCTATAATGACATAATGGAAAAAGTTTGCAGATACTTTTGTGTTAAAAAAACAAAAAACAAAAAAAAAACTACAAAACTGCATATACACAAAAATTCTCAGCTTTTGGCATGAAGCTCAAAATTGACCACAGTGGCCTCTATTATATGTAAATGAGAGAGGTTCAGGGACTCGTCCTTCGAGCCGGCTGGCTGTCTAATCTGAGCAATTGGGAGCCTCGGTTAGTGGGGTGACCAAGTCCGACAGTCATTCTTTGTCTCTTTTCAGTCTCACCCAAAAACACCCATGTGCAGATAACACCGCCTGGTGACATTCGAGAAGGCTCCTATGTGAACCTCAGCTGTGTTAGCCGTGCCCATCCCCCTACCAGCAGGTGGTATTTCATTATCACTATCCACAAAATGCTCATTGTATTGCTGTCATCGTGTCTTGTCTTTTATGTCACTTTCATGTTGTAGTTGTCTCGTCTGTATTTTGTCTTCAATTAGAGCTGAGTAAAATGGACTGTATTTAGGTTGGGCATTTTTCAAATGGCAGAAGTTTAAAATCAAAAGTAACCCTGGCTTGGCTATTACATCATTACTCAGCCCTATGAAGCACTTTTATTGTGATCATCCCCATCTTTCTTTAGGCATGCTTGGTATCGCATCCTAGGAGACCAGGTGCTAGCAAAAGGAAGCGTCCAGAACTTGACGTTCCCTTCAGTGCGTGCTCACCATGCCGGTCAGTACTACTGCATGGCCTGGAACCGATTAGGACACCAAACCTCTCATAGCGCCGCTCTCACTGTGCTGTGTAAGTTGTGTTCATGTGTTTGATTGGAACCATCCTTGTTAACTGATGCAACATGATTCACAGACAAGGCAGGAATTATGTGTCTGTCACCTGTCAGTTTGTGTACCTCTCCTCAATCGCAGTCTCTCTAGCTCCATTTTTTGTCTGTTCAGTAGCCTTTCTCACTTCCCATCAAAACATTATTCACGTTTTTTTTTCCTCTTTTTTTTTTAAATCCACTTGATTTATTTGGAAAAATGGATGTTAATATACCATAATGACAAAAGTATTGGTATGTCTGGTGTACAGCTAGTGAAAATGGAACAACATATAGAGCTATTTTGTTTGGGAATTTTGCTTCAGTCATCCAGTAGAAGTTTTGTCTGGCTTCATTTTCTCTGCTGGCAGCACGGTGGAGTTTATGGACTTTGCATGGTTTGCATGTTGCATCCATGTGCTTGTGTGGGTTTTCTGCAGGTACTCCAGCTTCCTCTCATCTTCCTAAAATATTCCTGTTGAGATTAAATCAAGACTCTAAATCAGGGCTGTCCAAACTTTATCCTGCGAGGGTCACAAAGGACCAGTTTGAAATGTTTTTACTCAAGTTTTTAAACACACTAAAGCTAATCAAGCAATTAATTACACGTTGTTTATATCATAAATACATAAAGGCTGTTTGTTGAAGTTGACAAGGAGGATTAGTCTCTTAAGTTTTGGGGTAGCCCATGGCCCTGCTTGACACAAAAATAAAGCCGCACCTCCACTCAGCAGTAGCTGGACCCTATCGCCACATTCACAACAAAACCAAGAGCAATCTGTCGTAAGCCGACTACATGTGAGGATCATTAATGTGATCCTTTCACAAATTGTACCTCGACACACAACAAGTGGAAGAAACCATTTTTGTTTCTGAAACGGAATTATCATTATTCTCCACAGAAATTCTGTTCCTATTTTAGATTTAAAATGTATTTTTGTCTTTGCATGACTAGAAACACGTTATTATCCCTCTAAAATCTAAATTGTCCATACGAGGGGCATCGTGGCAATCGGGGTTTCCTGAACGGCCGGCCAACTACTGGATCAATTTTGGGAAAGCAAACATTTTCCAGAATGGCCGATGTTTTTATGGGCTGGTCCTGGCCATCACGGCTACCAGCAGCCGTCCGCTATCCCCATGCCCCCTGTTGCCGTCTATGTTTCGGCGCATGACAGAAGCATGGTTCCTTATAAACATACTTTGTACTCAATGAGATCCTGCATGGATTCCAGAGAGTCTCTCGGGGTGTTCACACGGCACACATTTGATCCGGGCGCTGCACCGATGTATTTTGTTGCGATATAGTTTACACTGGAGCAAATTTTGTGGAGCGTTCACACGTACAACGCCGCTGAGCGTGGCAGCACCGGCGCAGCGTCGGTGCAGCTCCACTTGCGTTCACACGGCAGTTTCTGCAGCGGAGCAAAACGACAGAAAACAAATGAGTTGTCGTGTTAAACGTATACACAACGCAAGCAACTTCTGTACAGGCACGTCCTTCTCCTTCTCGGTCTCCGTGCCTTCTGCTCGAGAGTGACCGCCCCCCCCCCCGATAACACAAATCAACGATGACTTCAATGACACTCAGAAAAGCAAAAATGTAATGTGCCAAACAGAAAAATCAAGAGAGGAAATCACGAAATAAATTCTATGGGGCCCGGGGGGGTTGTGAACACACAACAAAGGAACAAACTACACAAACAACTCCGAGACATTCCAGTCTCCTACAAAAGGAAAGATGACGTTTGGAGACTATCACCCCACCCCGTTCTAGTTGAAATGGTATAACCCAAGAGGTGCTTTGCTACTGTTACCAGCCTTGTCTTGTGTCGTTATTAAACAAACACATGACGGAAGTCCGACAGAGCACGAAAGCAACGCA